ATTAAACCTGCATCCTCTGTTATTGATGATTTCCTGCATCTCACCGTTTACTCGGTACATTCTCAGACATTTCGCCAGCATCGTAGTCGGCATCTTTAATGAAAGGCGCCATCCTTACCACCTTTAAAAGTTACAAATGAAGGCAATCCTCTTGATCAGTTTTCTGTTCAACCGTGTCAGCATCACTTCTTGTCCATATTTTTTGTCATACGTTGTAGTATTGCTTCTCTTTCAACTCCACTTCATATCGTGTAATCATCTTTACCACCAGTTCCAGATGTAGTTCGCCAGACGTCTGTGTCATGGCCTCGACTCATTTAGCCCCCTTCCATTCCGCTTGTCAGTTATTCCCTGCTATACATGAAAATCACTGTCGAGCCTTCGATTGCGGCCCCGTTGACGGACCAACAGTTATTGTGCTCCCCAGCTCGGTTTCCACTTCCCTTTGAATATTTTGCCTAACACCTCTCATAGTGTAAAACTAGCATCTTTTTGGCCTCTAATTTGCTACTATAGATGGACCTACATCATTAACTTTTTAGGCTGATTCCATGTTGACTCCTTTCTCTTCATTCTCCTTTCCTGACTCCCCACTGTCCCTCATAATCCTCTTCTTGGTGATGTCTCTTGTTATTGGATAAATATCCTTAGTCCAAGCTTCTTTTGGTTGTCCCTTCTGGATCTCCAATTCCTAAAAGCAATGCTGTTATCTCTCTTTAAGCATATTTAGTATGTAGCTATGACGATCAGGATGGTGTGGCCTTTTGTTTGGTCGCAGTCTCCTTTAGCTGCTGGTTTGACTTCTTTTTGAGGATTGTAATACCAGAAATTCCTATGCCTAGGTATCTTCTTCTATACTTGATTCATGAGTGGACAAAATAAGTGCCCCAACTTCATATTACTGGTTCCGAGCAAAGCCAGCCACAGGGTCCCAGAGAACGAGAGAGAATGGAGTGGGGATAAAAGAGAAGTTGATTTGGTCATGGATATGAAACCTAGTGAGAATCACCACTTTAAATCCTCGAATATGACATAAACATGGGCCAGAATCGAAGGCCCATAGACAGCTAAATTTCACAGTCAGGCAGTGATTTCCGTGCGTAGCAACAAGCACTTTGATAGACAGGGGGGGTCTAAATGAAAATCAGAGGCCATGACTCAGTAGATCTGTGAACGGCAATTGAAATTGGTAGTGAAGGCGATTACGCTTCATTATATCTACAGGAAGCGACACTTAGGTGACATTGGAAGAATTGAGAACATAGAATGGTATCGATAGCTAGATAGGCCATATGACTGCGTTGTGAAAACGAGGTCAAACTAACACTATATTTACTATGGTTCCTAGTACAGGGCATGTGCTTCTCATTCTGTCTTGATAAGGCTTTTTATAAAGGTGATTTGAGATACCGTTAAGCTTGTTTTAACTGCGAAATATTTTTAGTATTAATTTTTTAGACTTCATTCATCGACTTAATTGTAACTACTCATAAAGTTAATTCATAGAGAATATTCACAATCCGAAGTAAACACATGCTTCTAGTAATTTCCTGGTAATCTGGTCCATATTCTTGTGGAATTATTGTCAATTTTATTTGCCAGGTATCCTAAATACTTATATCTGACTTGTTTTTTTTAGTTTTTTCTGGGCATTGTCTCCGTAGAGAACTTTTTCGAGGCCGCCTAGATGCAGTAGATTGGCTCTTGCCTGATCCTGACGTTGTCGCTGACCCGAGCCCCAGTTGGACACAGATGAATCTATCTGCTCCTACTATTTACCTGGCAAAAATGCTTCCCTGTAAGCCCTCAGCCCATTTATCTTATCCAAACAAGCCTTTATCTATTAATTAATGTCTCTTATAGACTGATTAGTAAGCTGTTTTCCGATCGCATAACATTAAAGAAATCTGTAGCGCTGCTTAATTTTCGATTTTTATGCCGGTATCTTCGTTAATAAACTTAAATAAGTCTAGAGAGTAAGACCATGATGATGTGTCCTTTGGTATGGTGGCAGTCTCCTTTTGATGCATATAAGCGGATTGAACTCGTTTTCTCCACTTGGTCTTGCTGTCTGGGCGACTTAATTGGACGCACCTTGTGGGAAGTCCTCAATCATAGTAGTTATAATTCCCAGCGTCAGACCGTGGACTTGGTAGATTCTCAGACGCTTCGCCGGCATCGTGGTCGTGTTATCACTCCTTTTTCTGTCCTGACCCATCTATCTATTCCCTACTCTCCTATCTGACTCCCTTCCTATCACATCTTCTAACTTGTTTACTTTCCACTACTCAAAAAGTGTACCTTCTTTGGCAAGTTTACTGTGGTCTCATCACACCTGCTGTTCATCCTGCTTCCCTCTCCTTCGATTGGCTAATCCAACTTCGGCCTCCTATCGGATCTCCGGGACAGGGCAGAAAGAGGAGTGATAGCATAACCGTTTTGGTAAAAAGTTGATCAAGGGATTGATTTCACTTGTCTCTTTGACGAGTTGTAGCTTGTTGTTGAGGCTAGCAAGACTCACTGATGATGCCGACTACAATGTCGGCGAAACGTCTGAGAATGTATTAAGTCCACAGTCTGACGCTGGAAATTATGACAACTACTATGGCGGAGGACTTCGGACAAGGTGCGTCCAATTAAGTCGCCCTGACAGCAAGTTGCGAAAACGAGGTCAGCCCACTTCTAAATGAAGCCTAGTTAGACGCTCAAAAAATGGTTTAGGAGTTGTATAACTTGCCTGAATGTTTTTATTTCCTTTTCGCGACCAAGATTGTTTCATTATCGGATGCTACTGTGGGACTTAATTTGCGGGCTCTAAGTAGTAAATAACCAGGCTTTGAAGCTATTTTTGAATTTGTAGGAATTATAGGCCTTCTCAATGTTAAATTTTCAAAATTCGTAATGAAACTCATTGTCGAGCTCCTAGATCTATGCAAAAAATTTATATTCCATTGCTGGACATTCTTCCCATCGAAGTTAAATGTCAACCAAATAAGAGAATCCAAGTCTGTCCTAGCTTTCCGGCCACAAAACACACAGCGGAAAATGTCTTATGCATGGTATTCCATACCTCTTATAAAATCTTATCCATTCAGGGTTGTCGACATTTGAATGAACGAAGATTCTTATTCTTCTTTCGAAGAATTAGGCTCAAATACGAACTAATTCCATAATTGAGACTTGCTAATAGTTACTCAAATTTACAATATATATTTTTTTGCTAATCTTCACAGCACTGATTTATCATCCTTTGCATATTTTTATTTAAACATATCTATATTCCTTTAAATGTTTTCAATCAATTGTTTCAGCATTTTTCCTGGGTGATCCACCATCCTTTGACATTTTATCTACTCACCGGTCCTTGTTTACGGTCAAGTTTCCATGTCAAAACCAAAATGACGAATCTCTGTGTAAACCTCAGAAGGTTCTGCTTTCTGCTCCTTCTGGGGCCCGTTTCTCCAGGCCTGGCCATCTGAACCTTATCAGCTTTATGAGTCGCAGCCCGATCTATCTATCGTGGTGTCAAGCGTCTTCCCCCAAGAGCGTATTTATAAGCTCGATGCCTGAAACTACCTCTTTGCCGGAAACTAGCAAGGAAGTTTGCTCTCGTTCTCCACTACTTACAAGCGTCGAGGGCGAGTTATCATCGGCGCGGTTCGAATCTGAGGTTGTGCTTCACCTGTCTTCACCATGTCCCCGTACTCTCTGGATGATTTATACCGCCTTGCTTCAGCGCAGAGCAGAGGTAATGTCCTATTTATTCCCTTCAGTCTCACTTGAAGCTTTGAATTATACACTATGAATTGTATCAGAAACCACATAATTACAGTAATCAGGTTGTATTATATACAGCAGGTCCCCTATTTCACAGACCGTAGTTAAAGTTGAATAGGGAAAAAAATATTTACTGAAACTAAATTTCACATTTAAATCAATGTTACTTTTTTTGTTAAATCTTGAGCAAGACCTAATTTAGAACATAATTTGTTGAATCGACACATTCTTAGGTAACTTTGAAAAAAGATAATTTAGAATGCTGTGAAGAGGTAAATTGGCGATATTAAGTTGTTTGATCTCATTGTCGCAACTTAATGTTGTTGTCAGGGCGACTTAATGGAACGCACCTTGTCCGAAGTCCTCTGTCATAGTAGTTATCATGATTCCCAGCATCAGATAGTGGACCTGGTACATTCTCAGCCGTTTCGTCGGCATCGTAACCTGCATCATCAGTGAGTGTTCCCATTCTGCACACCAAGCTACGAACTCGTCAAAGAGACGAGTGAGTCAATCTTTCGACCAAAGTTTTGCCTAAAACGGTTACATTATTACTCCTCTTTCTGTCCTCACCTATCTATCTACTCTTTACCCTATTATCAAACTCCCGCCCTATCACAACTTCTCACTTGTTTACATTCCACTCGTCAAAATATGTGCCATTTTGTGGAAAATCTAATGTCGCCTTATAACATTTGCTATTCACCCTGACCTCTCTTTCGATCAGCTGATCTGAATCAGGCCTTCAATCCGGATCCTCTTATTGTCTCGTATATATGTTCCTTCTCTTTCTCGTTAACCTATTTCACTCGGTTCCAGTCCAAGTGTGATTTTTACTCCGAGCGCTATTTCTCAAGGCCATAGAAGCACGTACACTGTCGCCTCACCGAGCAGACCGCCTAGGCCCTGATTCCCATGCTTGCAGATATCAGGTGTTGCCTATCACGAGTCATCTTGATTAAACCCGTGTTACTTGAGCAAACTGTGGATGCCTATCTCTCTCATGTGTGTTTTTAGTACATTTTGGCCATAACACCGAATTTCTGTGACGATTTGCTTATCCGTTTGTCTAGCTCATTGACTACCAAGCCACTAAAGTTGTACTGGTTTATTCGAACAGATATCACTCACAACGTTTTCGCTTGACCGTTGAAAATCCCGCCTCCTTTTTTCTCATCGCGATTCCTTTTCCTCCAGTTAGCGATAGATCCTTGATCCAGACGTCTCCTTTTTGCTGATCTTGCTGTATTCTTGTCCTACCCTAGCTTGCTTAAGCATCAGGCAAAGTGAACCCTAACTCCACCTTCATTAAATATTTCTCTCTAAAAATGTCAATGGCCTCCGTAATCTTCCGCTTCCTTGTGTTTTCACCGTATGAGGCTCTTCTTTCTGTCGCCTTCCAATTGATCTCGTGTCCAGTCTGTGCGATGTGTTCTGCTAATTCGGATCTTTCGATATCCATTTTGCTGCAGAGCCTTTGATTTTCCTTGATTACTATGTCTATTGGTAAGAAGACTTAGAGGAACGCATCTCGTCCGGAGTCCATTGTATGGATGATCATTTCCAAAGCTGGACCGTGGATGTAGTACTTTCCCAGACGTTTTGCCTGCATCGTCAGCGAGTCTTGCCAGTCGTCAAAGAAGCACGTGAAGCCGATCCATTGACCAAATGTGTGCTAAACAGTTGTCATGGGCTATTCACCTCTCCTATATCTTGATATTACCCCTTCACGATGACAATTTTTCTTGTTTACTTACATCTAGTGTGGTGAGCCCTTTTGAGCGATTTCATGAGAACCCTCGACACTTCACGCTGGCGTTCTCATTCCCCTTTACCCTTGTGTTGGGAATGTTGATTAAGGTCTGCCATATTGTTACGCAGTCCTCCTTCCCTAGGTCTTTTCAGAGTCTCCCTCTTGTCCCGTACGATCCGTCTGCTATCTCCCTGATTCAAGTATTTCACTCGATCTCTGCCACCCTATCTGTGCTACTTGAGGCGTTATCACCCATCCCCTGCGTCTGGGTGACTAATTCAAAGCTAAAGTATCTGAGTTAGTTTCATGGTCAAGCCTTTGCTGTATGGACCACGTCTATGCTACAACAGGTCTACTGTCAGCCAAATAGCTCTAGTCCCCGCCGCGTCTATCCTATTTCTATCCCTAATACCAAGTCTATGACTTGCTATGCCCTAGTCTCTTGTGTGCCAACTCACACACGTTGTCGTTTAACTTTGAATCTGATCAAAGCAAGCAGTACCACAACATTTGTGGGTTTACACACAAGAGACTATGGCATAGCAAGTCATATTTGGTATTAGAAATAGAAACAGGTTAGACGCGGCGGAGACTAGAGCTATTTGGCTGACAGTAAGCCTGTTGTACTATAGACCTTGTCCATACAACAAAGGCTTGACCATTAAACTTACTAAGAGGCTTTAGCCTCGAATTAGTCACCCAGACGATGGGGATGGGTGATAACGCCTTGAGTAGCACAGATGGGGGGGCAGGGGTCGAGTGAAATACTTGAATCAAGGGGATAGCAGACGGATCATACGGGGCAAGAGGGAGACTGATAAGGCCTAGGAAAGAAGGACTGCGTAACAATATGGCAGAATCTGATCCGCATTCTTAACACAAGGGTGAGGGGGATGAGAACACCAACGTGAAGTGTGGAGGGTTCTCATAAAAGTCGCTCAAAAGGGCACATCACACAAGATTAAAGTAAGCAAGACAAAATTATCATGGTGAAGGCGTGATACGAGGATATAGGAGAGGTGAATAGCCCAGGACAACTGTTTAGCACACATTTGGTCAATGGATCGACTTCACTTGTTTCTTTTGACGAGTTGTAGTATGGTGCTAAGACTGGCAAGACTCGCTGACGATGCCGGCAAAACGTCTGGGAATGTACCACGTCCACGATCCGATCATGCATACAATGGACTCCGGACTAGGTGCGCTGCTCTAAGTCTTCTTACCAATATGACCAAGTTGCGAAAACAAGGTCAAATAACTTCTATACAACGAAAGGATACTGCGACCACACAAAAGGTCACACCATCTTGGTCTTCATATCTTCGATTAAAATATTTTTCCTTCCTGAGCGTTACTTTTATCTCTCTATTTTGATGCTATTAGAAAATTTTCGTTTCTCTATGTAGTCCTCTTTAAATAATATAGAGTAAGGCTAATTTAAATTACATGAGGCCTGCCATATTGTTACGTAGTCCTCCTTCCCTAGGTCTCATCAGAGTCTCCCTCTTGTCCCGTATGATCCGTCTGCTATCTCCCTGATTCAAGTATTTAACTCGATCCCTGCCACCCTATCTGTGCTACTCGAGGCGTTATCACCTATCCCCTGCGTCTGGGTGACTAATTCGAGGCTAAAGCATCTGAGTTAGTTTCATGGTAAAGCCTTTGCTGTATGGACCACGTCTATGCTACAACAGGTCTACTGTTAGCCAAATAGCTCTAGTCCCCGCCGCGTCTATCCTATTTCTATCCCTAATATCAAGTCTATGACTTGCTATACCCTAGTCTCTTGTGTGCCAACCCACCAACGTTGTGGTTCAACAATGAACCTAACCAAAGCGAGCAGTACCACAACATTTGTGGGTTGGAACACAAGAGACTATGGCATAGCAAGTCATAGACTTGGTATTAGGGATAGAAACAGGATAGACATGGCGGGGACCGTAGCTAGTTGGCTGACGGTAGTTCGGTTATACCAGAGGCGTGGTCCATATAAAAAAGGGTTGAAGATGGCACTCAGAGGCTTGAGCCTCGAATTAGTCACCCGGACGCAGGTGAGGGCGAATATCGCTTC